AAATATCTGTGAGTCCAGGCTGAGATAAGTCATGATTACCTAACTAGATAGGAGGGAGGAGACAAATCTCCCTTGCAGAAAAATTTCATATAATTTATGTAGATATTTTGCCTTCAAGGAGGAAGGACATAACTCCTTGTCCCTTAAGTGTGGGCTACACATACTGATTTCCTTCCAAAGAATACAGCATGGAGAGAGAGGAAGAGAGAGAGAAAGAGAGAACCAGAGAGAGAAGTAACTTCGCAGTGGAAAAACCTGACAAACCCCACCTCAGCTTGCTGTTCAAGGTCAACGTCAACAGTGATAAATCATGGTGATAGTGTGTGTCCTTTAATGATATGATGAAAATGGCACTTTTACCTTTCTAGTTTTCCTACCCAAAACCCAGAAGCCCAGTTTAATTGTGAGAAAAAACATCAGTCAAGTCTCCATTGAGGGACATCCTATGAAATACTCAACCAGTACTCTTCGAAACTGTCAAGGTCACCAAAAATGAGAACAGTCAGAGAAACTGTCACAGCCAAGAGGAGCCTAGGAGACATGACAACTAAAAGTAATGTGATGTCCTGGATTGGATCCTGGAACATAAAAAGACTTAGGAAAAAACTGAGGAAATCTAAATAAACCGTGGACTTTTCGTTGGTTAATAATTCTGTATCAATATTGGTTCAGTCATTACAACAAATGTAATAGACTCTTGTAAGAGATTTCTAATAAGGGGTATGGGTGTGGGGTATATGGAAACTCTGTAATATATTTGCAATTTTTCTGTAAATCTAAAACTGTTACAAAATAAAGTCAAAAAAAGGAGAAAAAAAAAATTCCACAGAGCCAACTCCAAATTAGTTAGGAAGCCAGAAAACCATTATTGTATCTTGAATCTGTCAGCTCCAGTTGGAAACGTGCCAGCTCTCTGAGAATGATTATACTGAGAGCTCTATTAATCTCCTGATACTGGCAATAACCAAACTCCTTTTAAATTTAGAAATGAAGTAAATGGTCATTTTTCTTCCCACCACTTTTTCCTTTGCCGTTCCTTTGCTCTTTATAGCCTTGAGGTAATCTTTAAAAGCACATTTATTTTCCAAAGAATGCAATAATTAATAATTCTGCATCTTATTTCTTAAACTTGCTGTCAGTTACTTTCAATATCTTTTACTTGGTCAACAATATATTCTAAAATTGTTTGGTGGTTGTTGTTTTTGTCTCTTGGACGTAAAATTGGAGACTCATTTAGTCTTCTGGAAGGGCAGGTGGCCTCTAACATGACCCATAATCTATACCTATATGTGTTTTTAAACTAACGTGTTTGAAGTAAATTGTCCATAATCTCTCTCTAGGTGAAATTTGTTCTTTTGGAGAATAGTAATAAAATGACATGGTAATTCATATTTTTACTACAGTGCACATTTTCATCTGGAAGAAAATTCATCGATTGAAAAAATAGAATTGACTAAAAATTAGTAGTTAGTTTGTTATGTTTTAGATGCTGAACAAAGTCCTATCCAAAAAAAGTCTTTGGCTTTGGTTCCTCAGCATGTGGCTGTGACTCAGTGATTCTCCTTTGATCTCCTACCCTTAGTACTTTGTTTCTCTGGGAAAAGAAAAAAAAGAGTGTTAACAATATTGGCTTCAGTCAGTTGGGTTGAGTCTCTTTTTAACCATCTATTTTAAGTTCACCTGAGAATGGCAACCTTGGGTTTGCTTGGCTTTTCCAGGATGTATAAACAATGTAAAATAAAAATACCAGAATCCAAATGCAAAATCCAGCTTCGACCCCACCCCTGTGCTGTTCTTGAACTGTGTAACCATGGTCAGGGGATTTAACTGCTCCAAACCTTGGTTTCTCAACTTGCAAAATGGTGACCGAACTGTCTTTCTTGCCCACTTTCCTTCCATGTTTCTTTGGGAGAAACAAGAGAAAAGGTACAAAAACTTAATGTAAATCACAAAGCACAAAATAAAGGTGAATGATCATAATTAGAAATATTTTCTGGGGTGTCTGGGTGGCTCAGTCAGTTGAGCGTCCGACCTAGGCTCAGGGTATGATCTCACGGTTCGTGGGTGTGAGCCCCGCGTCCGGCTCTGTGCTGACAGCTCGGAGCCTGGAGCTCCTGCTTTGGATTCTGGGTCTCCCTCTCTCTCTGTCCCTCCCCCGCAAGCTCCCTGTGTTTGTCTCTGTCTCTCAAAAATAAGTAAACATCAAAAAATTTTTAAAGAAATATTTTCAGTAATCAACATGTTATTTTTTTTCTTACAGTTTTTTTTTCAAATAACTTTTGGAGAATTCTTGGAATTATTTTTAACTGGTTTAAAGTGCTTGTATCTGCTGTGCCCGGGCCTTTATCTCGGCTTTTCTCCTGCATGTCTGACTGTGCTTGTCGCTGCCTCTACTTCCTAATACTTCGAGATCTTCTTTTCCCTAAAATGTTCCTGCCCATCAATTCTTTCCATTCTGTGGACACACCAAGAAAATTTCTTTCTGGGTTCAGATGTTGATTTCACCTTTCTGAGCTTCAGCTTCCTCACCCATCAAATGGGAATAATAATAATAATAATAATAATAATAATGCTTATGGCATTGGGCTGTTTGGGGGATTAACGAGATGATGTGTTTGAGGTGACAGGATCCTAGGACACTTGATAGATACTCGGCAAATGTTTGCGGGATAAATGAATGGATTTCCTTCCACGAATTTCCAGGTGCGTCGTGTCCACTGGGTTGCTTATTTCCCTAGTTCTGATTATGAGCCCAGTTCTTCATGCCCTCTGAGGGGCCGTGGCCTGAGCCCAGAACTGTGTGGTGAACAAGGCCATTTTGATGATCCTGAGAATATGAAATTTATCGTGTAGATCTACTCTTGGTCGAGTCTGGTCCTTTTTTTGTCAGGCTTGAACTGACCTGCTCAGAAAGAGTGTATTGTAAAAACTTACTGGGACCGAAGTAAGGGAGCTGTCCATTTATCCTTCTTCCCTGGCTGTGTCACCAGGTATACAACCCATGTCACAGAGCAGGCAGTGGGTACCCGAGTCTGCCAGGCTCTGCCTGCCTCTGTGGTTACGATGTGACTTCTCCAAGCGTTTCAGCACCTTTAGGGGAAGACCTGACCTCTGGGAACTTTGCTGCTGAAAGTCCTATCAGTCCTCCCTGGCGATAAGTGACTGTCCAAGTGAGACCTGTGTGTGGCAGCCAAGCCCCAGGGATAGAGGTGTGTCTGGCCATCACTGTGACGAGAAGGGAGGAGAGGAGCGTGGATGGAAGGAGGAGAGAAGGAACCAAGTGAACCGGTATGTTCTGAGTGTGTGATGTGAGCCAAACACTGGCCCAGGTTCCCCCAACCTGTTAGTCTTTGGTCTCTCCTGAGCATCTCAGCACTCAAGACCATCTTGTCTGGATTGGTTCTTTGGTGTTCATGAACAGCTTCTGACTGCCTGGCTACAGGAACACAGGGACAGGTCTTTAGTCTGTTGAGGCTTGTTTTTCCTGCAGTGCTCGATCAGGACAAAGCACAAAGGACCTCCAGTAGGGACTTGGTCAACCCTTGAGGACAAGGCGGAGGATACACAGCTGTTGCTGAGATGGAGCCCTGGCTTTGACCATATGGAGCCCACCTGTGCTCTCTCTCCCGGGCGGGCAGTGGGGCCTCAAAGAGCTGTTGTTTCCTTTGTAAAAAATCTATTGATGGTGGTGGAAATCTCTGGAGCTTCCAGGAAACACTTTTGGAGGGAAGACTTTTTCAACATTGTCGCTTTTCATTATCTCTGCCCTGTTCGGGGTGGGAGTAAGAACTCTTGTTCGCTGTGATCGCTGAAGTCCCCATTATCTCCAGGGAACGTGAAGCCAGCGGTTTTGTTTCCTTTCCCATCATGGCGTGCTGAGCCATGTCCTTGGTCAGTTCTTAGTCTCCAACATCTTTTCAGTTTGCCACAATTAATGGGCACCCGTGTGGCTATTTTAAGATTTTTCTTGAGGTGGGGAACCTCCGTGACAGGCATCAATACCTGCATGTTATTTGTGTTACGTGTATATTTAACTTATTTCTCTGGAGAACTCCATGCTTATCCAACCAGGTACCATAAACCTCTTCCAAAATGTCATAGCTTGGGTTAAGTTCAGGGCTATTAGACTTTAAGGACTGTGTTAGATCAATCAAACTCTGTATTTGTTTCTCATGTGCCATTCCAGCCAGGAGTGCATTGCGATTTTAAAATGTCCCCCAATTTTCAATATTCTCCTGGCTTTCTGGCTACATCCATGATACTTTGGGAAGTAATAGGGGAGCAGCGATAGCTAACATCAACCTTTTGGCCAGTAACTAAGTGGGCAGAACATGAGGAAGTCTGAGAAGGCTCATTCCAAGCAGGATGAGACCCAGAGATACCTGGAAAAGAACTTTTAGAAATATTTCTGAATTGAATTGCAGAGTCCAATGTTTGCTAAGCCAAAATGCTTTTTACCTAGAGAATGTCAAAGCATCCGACAGCCAAAAGGTGGCGCTCCTCACCCACCATTCATTTCCTTCCAAGGTAAGGCCATCTTCTCGTTTTCTTCTGTTCCTTCTATTAGTTCTTTCATAATAAAATATTATACCCTCATCCTCTCCTGGTAAAACATAGCAATAAAACGGACCTTATTCTTTGGGTTGATCTGTGTTTTGATATATGCCAGTCCTTATCCCTCTGGGTGGACGATGCATAAGGTAAACTGTTTGCATTTTCAGTCGAGCTTGGCTTTATAGCTCTGTGTGTATCTAAGTCTATGCTGTATTACTGAGCACCTTTACTATAAAATCATCTCTGACCAGATCCAAGATTTTAATTTGTCTCTAGAGCTTGCCTCTCTCAATTTCATAAACCGTGCAAACACAGCTGGAGCAATTTACAGGCTGTGGAAAAAGTCTTGAGTATTTTTGCTGAAGTACTAATTCAGGGATCATGCTTTGTCATTTCCTGTTTCATTGTTGTTTGTACAAGTAGTGAATGGCCAATGGACTGTTTCAGATTTGCCTGGCCCCTCAACACTATTGCGGGCACCTCCTGTTGGGGCATGGCATGAATTGGGTGCAGCATGACGGCAAAATGGCGTTGGATTCGAGAAGGAATTCAAGGACACGTCGCTGAGAATGAAATCAGAGCAGCACTTTGGAAAGAAGGTAGGCTTATAATCTCTGGGTTATATGACTGTGGGGCCTGAGGCTTTCAAGAAAGCAAATCCCGCTGTTAGAGCTTTCCACCAACCCTAAATACTTTTGAGATCTACTTCCAGAATGTGCACCACAGAGTAAGGGAGACTTTTGTAGTCTTCTGACTTATGAATCGTTAGAAGCATAGACATGAAACGTGATGGAGAGCAACACGCTAGCACTGAGTCAAGGGGCTGAGAAAGCAAGAAGATTACCCCAGTAATGCGCCACGAACCTAGAATTTGGAAACCTAGAGACCTGTGTTTAGAACACAGGCACAAAGTCAGACAGAAGTTAGAAGAGTTTCTGAGCGGCATAAAGAAATCGTTATCCTCGGGGCGCTTGGGTGGCTCAGTCAGTTAAGCGTCTGCCTCTTGATTTCAGCACAGGTCGTGATTTCACGGTTCATGGGATCAAGCCCCAAATGCAGGGTCTGCTTGGGATTCTCTCTTCCCCCCATCTTTCTCTGCCCCTCCCCCACTCATGCTTTAAAAAAAAAAAAACTTAAAAAAAAAAACCAAACCTCGAGAAAGTCATCATAAAGTATAAGCACCTTGTTTTGTATGAATGAAACCTAGAGAAGTTTTAGGACTTTGATGCCTGGTATACTACAAGGTAGGTGCTCAATAAGCATTTATGAGATGGATGGATGAGGAATGGCGAGAAGGAGAACTTCAAGGGAGGCATGCTTGCTGAGCTCCATGTTATGAAAAGACGTGAGGGAGGAACAGTGCCTTGCAGTCCTCAGCTCTCTCTGAAGGCACCACCACTACGGCACAATTAAATGATTGAAGCTCTCTTTGTAAACCGCATTTGTTGACAAAACATGGAATTACGTTTAGAATGCCCTGTTCATTAAGATCAAAATGGAGGTGATAAAAATGGTTAGACTTAAAAGCCACTCATATTAAAAGCAACTCATTCTGTTAAAGGGACAAGCTTACGTTATTTATTTTGAACATTTACCACCAGCTAAGCATTGAGCTCGATTCTAGAATATAGTGGTAAACAAATTATCTAAGGTGTTCACTGAGATTGCCTATTTCGTACCTTTATAGTGTAACAATAATGAGACATTGGTACTTTTTTTTTTTTGAAATATACAAAGAACAAGTGCATTTGTGCAGAACCGATCCAAAATACTTCTAATTCTGGTTCGAGTCCTCCATAAAGCAGTCATCTGAGGAAAATATTCTGTGCTGCATCAAGCTTGATTTATCGTATGGATTTGTCTATATTGACAAACTAGGAGGACTTTCCTACTGCATATGTTACCCATTAAGGCAGGACAATGAAATCAGGCAAAATGCTGAGAGGTCATGTCCTTCATCACTCTTACCAGCATAAAGAAACAGCATTATGAAAATTACCTTGTTTTTCAGTTTGTTCATGGGCCCAACAAATGTTGTGGCTTCTAGTACTCTCTGGGTTGGGGCGGAAAGTCTCATGCAACTTGGTATGTAGAGGATGAAGTGACATTGTCAGAAGTAAAAAAGCAAGATGACTTTAGTTCCCCTTACCCAAAATGTTTTCTCACCAAGCTCTAGGAGACATTTCTGAGAGGGTTCCTCTGGTGTAGGTTTGAACTGAGGTTTGATAGTTTGTTTTACCTTTTTAAATGTGTAGGAATAGTGCCTGCCTTTTATTCTTCAACGCATTCAACCATTGATTTCCCCAGTAATCTAGCAATACTCTTACCACATCGGTAGTGTTCCTTATTACTTCTATTGAATTTTAGAGGTCAAGTCAGACCGTGGCTACAAGAGCTTGCATGTTCAGCTTCAGGCCACAGAGTCATAGGGCATGGGATGGTGTGTATCTTTAGATCTTTCACTGTTGGTGCTCAACTCTTCCGAGATTCTGCTGTTTATACATTTGCTAGCTCTAATTCCACATTTTTGGGAACTAAAAGATGCTCTTTAATGTACTGAATTGGTTTTTTAAGTACAGATTTTTTTTTTTCATCTGTATAGGCTGATGTTGAGTTTCCAGAATGTTCTTTAAGTGGAAAAGTCTGGGTCTTTCCAACATCAACTTATTCTAATATTACAGAAACCCAAGAAACAGTTGCTTATCTAAAATTTTCACTTTCCAATCAGTTTTTATAGTGATTTTAAGATCTAGCCTAATCTCAGGACAAGTCTGATAGATAAGGGATTAGTGTTGTTTCTGCATTGCAGCTCTAGGTCATGCCTCATTTCCAGCGGTTCCAACTCAGTGAGATTCAAGAATGAAATGCCCCTATTCATGCCACCAACTAAATTCATGAGTATGACCCATTTCTCTCTTCAAAGTTGTGTGTATGTATGTGAGTATATGTGTGTGTGTGTTCCATTGACAATGCTAGGTTCAGACACACACAAAGGTCACTCTGACTTCTCTTTTAAACTTACATACTGCCCCAAAAGATTGATGAAGTGCCAAAGCCAAGAGAGTAATAAGCCAAACATAGTTAAACAAAATACGTCTACCTCTAAAAAACTCACATATTGATTTGAAAACCTAAAGAGAAAATTATTTCTGGATTACTGATTCTATTGGTTGGATTTTATCGGTGGGCATGATTAAGAGTCAACTATATGTATTTTTTCTGAACCACTAGTCCGCCCACACTGTCCAGATTGTTTTTATAACTATGGAATTTTCCACTCAGGTTGCATTTTCCTTGTTTGCTTCCATCAACATTTCTGTGCCCAAATAGTTTCTTTTGTGGCTCAATTTTTCCATCTTTTTAATATAGAGGGTTGATCCCAGCTGTAATTGTGCCTGGTTATATACTGACAACCCACAGAAACAAACATCAACAAACACAGTCCTTTGATAGGATGATGTCATCACAATTTGAGTTTCAAAAGCAAATACAAGTGGGCAACTTGGACACCTGTGCCAGCTCTTCTTGGTTCTCCCTCCCCTCCCCTTGATGATGAAAGAATTATCTTTGCTGAAGGTGGAATGCTCTGCTGACACCAGCTCACCTAGTTTCAACCCTGGAAGATCGATTTCACATCAACTTGTTTAGATTGACACCGAGGCCACCTGGGCCTCCGCTGTAAGGAAACCCAGTGCTTTGCTTAAACAGTAGACAGCTATCAAAATAGGGGCAAGGTGGGAGGGGGCGGGGGAGGAGAGAGAGAGAGAAAGAGAGATTATCAGACTTAATATTGGCTCGCATTAGAGAGCTAGAGAACTCTCTCAGGTCTGCTAATGTTGCCATTACCATTTGTCAGGTGTATAATCAACCAGGAGAATAGGGAAAATGGGGCCTTTGTAGGATCCTGAATCAACATTCCAAACAATTCAAGCACTGTTCGCAGGTTAGAGCCGTACCTTCCTGACCCTTCTCTTCTCAAAGAAACCACCTCCCAGGAGCATTACATCGATCGTACGTTCACTTTTCCTCAATATGACAGCTGGTTACGTGACACCATGAGACTCCATTCTTAATAGCTATTGTAAAGAAACAGCTGTTGGAACAGTTTTTCATGTTGTTCAATCTTGTTTCCAGCATCAGAGGATTTAGGATTTGTGCATTTTTGGAAAGACTTTTATCTTTTGTTTTACGTTGATTTCATAGAAAAAGTAAAGGCCATTTATGGTACAAAACAACAACAACAACAACAACAACAACAACAACAACTATAACATCAGGGTCAGGGAGGATAATTTGTTTTTTGAGGTTTATAAAATAACGTTTCTAATCACTTTCATTTCCGCACTAAAAATGGCGTCTGTCACATGACCTCCTTGACACAATGCACAGAGGACAACGGAAGCTCAGCTGTCATGGCATCTCGTTGGCTGCATCTGTACACTCTCCTTCCGTATAGTCAGTTTTGCACTGGCTCTTGCTTCCATCCCATCTCCCCTTTGCTTTTGCTTTTCACATCCCTTACCTCCTTTTTAAACCCTCACGCCAGATCAAGAACTCCCCTGAAGGGATTTGTCTTCTCTGTTCACACTAGGAAGAAAATGGAAGTTGGTAAGACAGCAGCATCAAATAAAGGAGTAAAAATCTACCTCCTGAGAGCCCATGGTAGTCAAAAGAGTCTCATACTGGGAAGTCCAGGCATGTGATTTCAGCTTTCCAAAGGTAAAAAAACAGAACTAACATTGGACTCACAAATGAACGAGACATCGAAATCATGTCCTTCCATTGTTTTGAATGTAGCTCAGGAAGAATTTTCCAGAGCCCTCGAACCTTTGATTGGAAAATACATTTAACATGTTTGAGGTTTTTCCAACACCAAGGAGAACAGATGACTTCTTGGCAGTGCTGCATTTCCAGAACACAGTTACCTTTGCCTCCTTTTGGGCTGACACTTCTGTCTTTTTTGCAAAGGGGACTAGTTCGCTCACTCAAGAGAAGAAAACATGGTGCCGGTTCCGAAAAGTGTTACTTCCACAAGCCTTTCCTCGGTGTTTGGAACATTGATAAAGATGTTCCTTGCATATTGAGATATCATTTGCCAACGAATATTCTCTTGAGAAGGTACCTCCTTGACTTAAACTCACATCATGGCACAAATTATATATGTCCAGGAGAAGAGAGAAAACTTGAAGGTGCTGGATCCTATATAGGGTGTGTTGTGTATACGTGTGGCTTTTGCCTAAGCCCAGCACTGTTTTGGTTCAGGGGCAAATACTCATAGTGAAATAGTGTTTTTGTGGTGCTAATTATTGCATTATGAAAAGATACTTTGGGCTCAGGTCTTAGAGGCTCAAAGCCACGAATCTCCCCTGGAGAACACTACAGAGCACCCATTGACTGGAGCACTCAGCAGCAAATTTAAATTTATTCACAGAATTTGGTAAATATAGCCAGTTATGTCCCTCTAATGCAGCCACGTTGTTAACTGCGTAAATTAGCAACCTGATGACGAACCTAGAAATAATATAGGTAAGGAAATCCAATCTGCAATATAGCCATATATTCACTTCATGAACAGAGTTTTTGAGTGCTCATAATATTTATTTGACAGTGGCAAAAATGGGGGATCCTGGGTGCTCAGTCAGTTGAGTGTCCTACTTGGGCTTAGGTTGTGATGTCACGGTTTGTGAGTTTGAGCCCTGCGGCGGGCTCTGCGCTGACAGCTCAGAGCCTGGAGCCTGCTTCGGATTCTGTGTCTCCCTCTCTCTCTCTCTGCCCCTCCCCTGCTTGCACTCTGTCTTTCTCTCTCTCAAAAGTAAATAAACATTAAAAAAAATCAACAATGGGAAAAATGACTCATACACTAGAAATCTAATTTTTATTTTGTCTCCTAGGAAGCCCCTGGTTGTTTGATGCAGGATGCATGGAATTCATTTTCTCTTTCAAGTGTTAGTTGCCTCAAGAGAAAAAGGACCGAAAATATGGCATCTCCTTGGGTACTTGATCACCATGCACATGTGACGAGACAGAGAAAAAGCTGGAGAGGCAGAGCACAAGGGGGGAGAGGGAGGGGAACATTGATTCATTATTCAGGTCCTTGGGAGTCTCTTGGTGGTTTATTTATTGTGAGGAGCCAGAAAACAAATCCATTCTAAACTTTCTCCTTCCTGGCAGATTTTTCAAAGCTGAGGTTTCTCTGCTGACTGTGCATGTCCTTTTATCATGTGTTTGGTTTTTCAATATCAAGCCATTTCACAAAGAAGAGAGAATATTTACTTTCAATTAATAAGCCACCCGGCAATTACCCTTTGCTCATAAGCATGTGAATGCTTCTGTGTGCGCAGATGATAGCTTCCACATTAAACAGCTGTCCCCAGTAGCTTCAAAAGGCTGTCCCCCCTCCTCACGGTGTTTTCCAATTCGCCTTCCTCCCCGGCACCAAGGTTATGCCTGCTCACTGGCAGGTCTGCAGATGGGCACCCACATGGCTATGAATACACATTTCATATTCACTTACAAACCAAGAATACATATTTTGTTTTCAATGCCTTGTGAAGATTTTTGTCTTTGACATCTGTAAATTAGGCGACTTACTCTCACTGATCCTAATGGCTGTCTTCTTGTATAAAGTATAATTATGCTTTGAAAAGGAGCAGTCATTGGTTTTAACGAAATGAGTGGTTATTTTGAAGACAATTGGTCCTCTGGGCTAATTCTCTTGGTTGTGTCTATGTTTGAAGCTTCAGGACTGTGTAGACACAGAAGGACTTGTAAATTCCTTGAGCGCAGTTCTGACTTCTCTCATCTTTGCATTCGCGTAAGAAAACAGTCAGGAATGTAATAGGCCATGATATCCCTATCTAGATACAGGTATAAATAAAGAGGTAATATAGAGAACTATATTTAAGCTGGTCTGCCATCACCCGGAGAGAATGGGTATACTCTTTACAAGGTTTCTTTGGGTCTTTCCCAACCAGTCTCAACCAACAGGCCTGGGCACACCTTTCTTTCCTTTATTATCCTGGGGAGAATGGTTGAAGAGCTAAACCAGAAGAAAACACATTTAAAAATCATTGTTGACACGTACTGAAAAGCAAGACTCAAACTCTACAAATCTCTGCCAATGTGAATACAGTGGATGCTACTTGTTTAAGTCAAATATTGAATATTCCTCCAGGTTGTTCAAAAAGGCTACCTCCAAAATACTTGTTTGTGGGTGATAGAAATTTTCTCAGCACCACCTTGCCAATGAAATTCCCAACCAGACAACTCATGACTACTAGAAAAGGTTCAGCGACTACAGCAATGAATAAATATGAAAATGAAATCACCCATGTTCCAGCCATTCACGAATCGCCACTGCAACAGTGTGTTGTAAATCATTCTAGTTTCTTCTACAGATACATTGAATGTCTATACATCCATCCTTTATCAGCATTGATCTCTACTTAGCCTGCTTTGAACATGGATTTTGAACTTCATTTTCCCCCCAAACACTACATACATTCGGCTCATCATTTTAATAGCTTTCTAGTATTCTAGTGTATGAATATATTATAATAACCAATAACCTATTCATGGACATCTGGGTGGTTTCCAATACTAATACACGTTTAATACCTGTGTAAAACATTGGAAGTGACACTGGACAGCATAAACAGGAATACGGAAAGTTATTTTGGCTGAATCAGAGCCTTAAAATCTATTTATGATTTAGCATGGTGCTTACACATTAAAAAAAGTAAAATATTATAACTAAAAACTTATGAAGGTTTTCCTTAAAAGCTTGTAGATTAATTGTAGATAGATTCAAGATTATAGATTCGTTATTTTGTCCATCACTGGATATTAAGTACTTTTATAAAAAATATAATTATAAAATTTATAAATGATGTAAGAAGGTAGCAAAGGTGTTAGTTGATGTACACATTTGGAAAATTGGGCTGGAAATCATAGTCTCTGAGCCCATGTCCATATTTATATTTAGACATTCAGAAATCTTGTGCTGAAAGGCTTAGGTTTATCATTGCCATTAAAATTCATTTTAGGGTCTACTGATACATATTTTTTCATATATTGGTTTTCAAACGTAGTTCATAAACTTTGCAGCACATGTAAGAATACTAAATGAAGGTATAAAGATAAAACTAGACATCTCAAGGCCACCATACACTGTTGGGAAGCTTTTACACTGACTGCACAAGGGCACCACAGCGAATGGGGTTCCAATGATATTGCAGCAGTGAGGATTTTTGTATTTATTACAATGATTTTCTAGCAGATGGCAGTGTATTACGAGAGCATTCCGACAGAAATAAAGTATCTTGAGTTCTCCAACTGACACTCTCTCTGATTTTCCCTCAAACTCACGCCCCCTGTGCCTTCTTACACTGCTCAATCAATAATGTCTTATGGAAACCCTCTCAGCTGACGTTGTTCTAGACCATTCTGTCCAATAGATGCATTATATGTCTCATCCAACTTCTATGAAGAAGTTGAAAGGCATAAAGGGATATAATAGTTATTGATTATCAATATTTAGAACAACCACATATATGAAATCATGATTTTAATTTTTGCCATATAATTCCATTGGCTTTTCCATAATCGATGGCTGTATTCATGGCAGAGGGAGGCATTTCTGCTTCCTAAAATACTTCTTAAATTCTCAAAGATTAAATTACATTCACGATTGTCACAGTGTTGACTATTTTTTCATGTTCTTTGAAACTGACAAATCTAATGCTTATATATGTGATTCTTCTTTATTATAATAAATTAAATTACATCATCATACCAGGATTTACAGCTTTCAGAACATCTTCCCACCACCTTGGTATTTGATATTTGAAATTACAACATTGTGAGGCAGGGGGCGTCAATTTCCAAATTTTCCTGTTGAGTGGTGGCTTAGAGAGGGCAAGTGTCTTGTCCAAGGTCCTGTGGTCATAAAGTTATCGAATTGGGTTGGACACTCAGTTAGTGGTCTTTACATGACCCCAATGACCCCATACTGCTTTAGAGGGTGGGATTAATCAGTCCTCACTAGTTTCTGACCCTCCTACTTAACCGTGGTTTTGATTTCTTTTCTTTGTTAGAATGATCCTTTTGTTGTGCGCTCTCCTGAATACATTTTTAAATTTCCATCCTTTATGTTTCTCAGGTGCTATAGGAACATTTTGTTTTCACTTTCCATCCAGTGCACCCATCGCCTTCCTCATTACACACATGCACATTTAAAAGGCTAATTGAGTCTACCTATGATTTTAGCGATTGCAATGCGATCTAGTAGAACAATCAACTATTAATTACCGTTAATGAATAATATACCTTGGTCCTTCAAATCTTTTGTCATGCATCTCTGGTTCTAGTCTAGGCCAAGTTTATAGTTAAAGTGCTCTGCAGCTGTAAGCACGCTATAGTTTATAAAAAACATCTTTCTTCATTAACATTTAAGAATAAGTTTGTATTGTTGGATTCAATGGACACAACTTAAAAAGCCACACGATTTCAGCTTTTCTGGGGTGGGGAAGGGGGAGTGTCATGTAGAGTCAAACCATTTCTTTGAGATCTGATGAAATGAAATTGTTTCAGCTCACAGTGGTCTGCTAACATCTCAACGCCACCACTGCCACCGCCACCAAAAAGCAAAGGATTCTTCCTTTTAAGTTCAATAGTGAACAGTTGGATCTTTTTGTCAGGAGCTGGTAGGTTAGGTGACT